TAACATAATCAATATCTGATGATAAGTACTTAGTAACTTTTTGTGGAATAGATGGCTGTTATTGAGCAAATCCCCAATTTAAGTTAAAGCAATGTGTGCACCCACTTTAGAGAAGGGAAGGGAACCTTATTTAAATTTCAATAGCAGAAAATATACATGAATAGTCAAACACATATGAAATAAAGGGATTAGCCACTGTAGGTTGTATAACTGGAATGGATCAAGCTGCTTAATCATTATCACTCTTACCATTATGAAATTAAGTAAATGTGAAATGGTCTTACAGGATAATGTAGCCTCTATTTTTTAATGAATTCATATTAAAATTAAAAGTTAAATAGGTAGTATTGGGAAACTTCAGTTTTATGTCACTGAAATCTGATATTTTTAAAGTATATGTTTCCTCATATACTTACCTAGTTTTGTTTGGCAGCTGAAGTTTTATAACAGTCATTCTTAAATGGAGAATTCTAAAATCACTAAAGTATCTATGTGATTTCCAACTTTTAACAAACTGTATTCTGAACTATTGCCATAGTTTGGATTAATAAATTTTTCCCTTCACTATCAGTGCTGATAAAGTAACAATTATACTTGGGTTGTATTATAATACTTGAACTCTCTTGAAAGACTAATCTCTGATGACTAGTTTAAAAGTAGGGTATCTTCCTATTATTTTATTGTTGGTATTTAAACTTGGCCTGCCATTAATGTTATCTGTCAAGAAATAGTCTATCAAAATATAAAATTTCTTTTGTATCATCTTAACATGGTTAGGTTTTCAAGGCAGATGTGGGTATTTTCCATTTAAAAATGGGAACAAAATTACATTAATGTGTCTTTGTTTAATACTATGTAATTCGTAAAAAACTGTTTTGTTGAGTTATAGTTTATATACTTTACAATCTACTCATTTAAAGTGTGCAATTCAGTGTTTTTTAGTAAATCAAAGAGTTGTTCAATATCATCACAATATAATTTGAGAACATTTTAATCTGACAAAAACTCCATACTCATTAGTAGTCACTCCCCACTCCAAATTTGCTTCCTCTGTAACTCTAGGTAACCACTAATATGTCTCTATGTCTCTATAGATTTACCTATTCAGAGCATTTCTTATAAATGGAATCATACAATAGACAGTCTTTGGTTACCGGCTTCTTTCTTTTGGTATCTTTTCAAAGTTCATCCATGTTGTAACATGTAGTTTATTCCTTTTTATGGCTGAATAATATTCCATTGTATGGATATACCTAAATTTTGTTTATTCATTCATCAGTTGATGGACATTTAAGTTGTTGCCTCGTTTGGCTCTTATAAATAATGCTGCTATAAACATTCATGTACAAGTATTTATAAAGACAGACATTTTTTCATTTCTTTTGTGTATGTACTTGGGGTGAAATTGCTGGGTCATATAGTAACTCTATAGTTAACCTTTCAGGAACTGCCAAACTATTTTCCAAAGCACCTGCAGAATTTCACATTCTTACATTTGATGTACAATTTCTCTACAATTTCATCAGCACTTATTATTACCTATCTTTTTTTATTAGTCATTCTAGTGGATGTGAAATGGTATATCATTGTGATCTTGGCTTGCATTTTCCTAATGGCTAAATGATGTTTTTATCTTTCATGTGTTAATTGGCCATTTATATATCTTCTCTGGGGAAATGCCTATTCAGATTCTTTGCCCATTTTTAATTGGGTTGTTTAACTTTTTTATTATAGAGTTGAAAGAGTTCTTTATATATTCTGGATATAAGTCCTTATCAGATGTATGATTTGCAAATATTTTCTCCCATTCTATAGGTTGCCTTTTTACTTTATTTTTTTTTATTGCTCCTGAGACAAAAGAGTGCTCGATACTTTCTTGATTGTGTACTTTGAAGCACAAAGCTTTTATATTTTGATGTAATCCGATTTATCAATTTTTTTATTACTTGTTTTATCTGTTGGAGTTGTGTCTGAGAAACCGTTGCCAAATTCAAGGTTATGAATATCTGTGCTTACTCCTGAGAGTTTTATAGTTTTAACTCTTACATTTAGTAGTATGCATTTTGAGTTATCTTTTTGCATGGTATTGAGGTAGGTGTCCAATTCTCTTCTTTTGCATGTGGATATCCAGTTGTCCCCAAACCATTTGTTGAAAAGATTATTGTGTTCCAATAGTAATTCTCAGATGTCAACTGAGTGTCCTATCATTCAGTTCAATCTGGCACTATCTGGAATTAGCATCAGATCCCAGGAATTAAAGAGTAAGGTCCTCAATGACTGCCCTTACTTCAGAAGGTAACTGCGAGTGGGGTCCCCAGGCATTGGGTACTTCTGCCTGGCAGAATTGTCTACAAATGTTGGAGTTCTCACGACACTCCTTCAGCTTCAGTAATTCACTAGGATGACTCATCAAACTCATGAAACTGCTATACTTATTATTAATGTTTTATTATAAAGGCTTCAAATGAATAACCCAGATAAAGAAATACATAGGACAAGTCTGGAAGGGTCTCGAGCACAGGAGTTTGCTTTTGTGGAGTCAGGGTGTACCACCCTCCCATACATCAATATATTCACCAACCAGGAAGCTCTCTGAGTCTCATTGTTTTAGAGCTTCTCTTGAGGTTTCATTACATAGGCATGATGGATTAAATCATTAACCTTGTGATTAAACTCAATCTCCAGCCCCTCTCCTCTCCTCAGAGTCTGGGATGGTAGGGTCCTGAAAAGTTCCAGTCCTCAAATCACATGATTGCTTTTTTTCACAACCTTTTCCAGCCTGAAGCTATGGAGGGGCTCTGTTATGAGTCAAGTCATAGCATAACAAAGGCATATCTATCACTCAGTGAATTCCAAAAGTTTTTGAAGCTCTGTGGCAAGAAACAGGAAGGTAGACGAGATTTCTTTTTCTTTCTTTCTCTTTCCCTTTCTTTCTCTCTCCCTTTCTTTCTTCCTTCTTTCCTTCCTTCCTAATAGTGTTTTCAGTGAATTCCTTTAGATTTTCTAAATAAAAATAATATTATCTATAAATAGATGGTTTTATTTCTTCCTTTTCAATCTGGATTTTTTTTTATTTCTTTTTCTTTATTGACAAACCTGGCTGTAATCTCCAGTACAATGCTGAATAGAAGTGGTATGAGTGTACATTCTTGTTTTATTCCTGATCTGGGGGGAAACCAGTCAGTCTTTTACCATTAAGTATGATAGTTGTGGGGTTTTTTTGTAGATGTTCTCTGTATTAGATTAAGGAAGTTTTCTTCTATTGCTAGGTTATTGAGTGTTTTTATCATGAAAAGGTGTTGGACTTTTGTCAAATGTTATTCACATCTATTGAATGATTGTATGATTTTATATTTTATTAATATAGTGTGTTCCATTATTTGATATTTAAATGTTAAACCAATTTTATATTCCTAGGATAAATCCCAGCAGGTCTTGGTGTATTATTTCTTTTTACTGTTTTATATACTTTAAAAGAATTTAGGTACTCCAGAAGTCACCCAAAATTATTGAGGCTTTTAAAAATGAAAAATCTTTATAAACTAATAATCAAAAGTTATGCAAGTAGTCTGGGCCTAGATCACCTCCAAACCTGTGATTACAGTATGTAAGACCAATATCCTAGAAGTAGAATTCTATTTTCCTAAAAGTATCATTTTTAAGTCTTTTAAAAATACCAGCTACATAATCCAGTTAATGACACAGGTAACTCCACCATCCCAGGGCATAAAATTTATATAATTTATATTTATACAATCTAATAATCATGTTGCAGTGTCACGCAAATCATGAACACATGTTTAAACATTTTGAAACGATAGAACTAAACATTTTGGGGACCAAAGCTTAAAAAGGTAGAATAGGTGATGAACTTATCCTTATAAAAATTATTCTACATCTGTGAGGAAATAATAAAATCATGATAAAATAGTTATACGTATTGATTTTGGGGGGATTTCTGAATTCATGACAAAATGAAATGAAACCATTTTATAGATCAAGAAAATAAGCTTCCATAAGGGTTGATAAATTTCCAAAGACATATAGCTCTTTTGTCATAGGAACAATGATTAAACCATGGTTTTTGAGTCACGTAGGTGGCTCAGTCTGTTTAGCATCCGACTCTTGATTTCAGCTCAGGTTATGACCTCAAGGTTGTGAGATGGAGCCCTGCTCTGCACTGGGCATGGAGCCTGCTTAAGATTCTTTTTCTCCCTCTCCTTCTGCCCCTCCCCCCTTCCCTCTCTAAAACCAAAACAAAACAAAACCCCCCAAACCCCCAAAAAACAAACCTGTTCTTTATCACACTGGACTATGACTATGAAAGAGCAACTGGGTATAAATAAGGTGTTTCTGCTTTTATTTTGCTGTTTTTATTCGTACTGTTTTTAATCTAGAAATTATCCAGTGAGTTTGTAAACTTTTATTCTTATACAACTTACTGTGCTAGTATAACATAGCACTGTGCCCTGATAAGTAATAGTCTGTATTTAATAAATCTTAATGACCATTAGGATGTTTTCCATAGTACTCTAGCTGTAAGGAATGTTGCCTTATAAGTGTATTTTAAGTTAACCATCAAGGAATATAAAGAAGGTTACAATTGTTTTTCTCTATAAAACTAGGCCCAGAGTTCATATTCATGCATGTGCTTATATGAATAAATTAATAATGTAAAGATTTTTAAAAGCGATTTAATTGATATAGCTCCAAAATAACTGGTTCGCATTTTTACGTTTCAACTGTCATTATATCTTGACTGTCATTTATAAAATTTGTTTTTTAGTTGTTCATTCATTATGCATTCATCAACCACTAACTGGCACAGTCTTATGCGTCTGACTGTGTGGCTGTGAATCTGATCTAGAAAAAGTTGTTATGATGAAATTATTTAACATTTCTTCCAAAGTTTTGTAGTAGAAACTTTGTTTAACTCTACAATGTTTGGAATTACTTTGATTTCTCACTACTTTTCTTTCCTTTATTTTATTTTTTTTTAGCTTTACAAGAAATAGATAACATCAAGGACATCGGGAGTGGGAGAGATTGGACTGGGAGACTCAGCAGGTCAGGACATTTGCTTTATCATTTGCTGATCATTCTTTTGCCATCAATTCTAGAGTTCTCAAGTCTCTTGCCACTTGTTTATTGCTTGGACATGCTTACTTGGTATGTTCTCAGTTTTGCAAATTGTGACTAACACCTTTATGTAAAAAGTCCAGCATTTGGGTATCCTTTTTTTTTAGGATTTGAAGATTTAAAAAAATAATTCAAATAAATTTTCAGGAATAGAAGAAAATTTCTTACCTAATAAGTTATATAAATACCCGGATTTCTATTATTCTCACATAAACTGTTTTTGAATGAAGATTTCTTGATAACTTTTCCAGAATCAAAACTTTAAACGTATAAGATGTTAGTAAGTAATTGTAGTAACATTAAGTAATTGTAGTAACACTTGGGTCATGAAAGTCGTTTCCTTTCTTTTCTGCTATAGTCTCTGGGCTTGGATCCACCTCTAAAAGCTCTTGACACTTCAGAGTCAATCTCTTTGCTTACATTAATCTTAACTACTGAATGTTGACTACCATGTGTAAAATGAAGTTTAATTAAAATACAATTTCTATGTAAATGGAAAGATCCCAATAGTCAAATGGTCACCATTGTGGAAAGTTTAGTGTTAGTCCCATTCCTCGGTCAGCTGAAGCCATGCTGGCCTTTGGGATCTCCATTGCCCTGAGTGTCCCCGTGGGTGACTGATGGGTTCGTGTTCATCTCCTGCTTCAAAGAAGTCTCCAAGTTGTCTTGAATAGTGATTACATCTCTCAGTATAATTGCTTAGTTTTTTATAGGAGCTTGGGGATCCTTTACCTCTCTGTCAGGGCTATCACTTCCACAACTCTCCTGGAGTATAACTTAACTTCTCCACATCCAGGTTTTTTATAGAGCAACTTCTATCGGGTTTTTTCAGTTTTAATCACAGAGGGATAGATGCTTTTGTCCTTCAGTCTGATCACATCTCTTCTAGTAAAAAGGCTTATTCAGAAAGGAGCTAAGCTTAAAGTTCTTCTGCCTGGATGATTCAGGGATTTAGTTATTTCTTAGCATTAGCATTAGAGACCAGACAGATTATTATTGTTAGGTATTGAAAGAACACTAGCCTCCAGCTTAAAGGAGAGATAATTTCAAGTATCTCTTGATGCAATGCATATGCTCAAGTCTCTGTTCTTAGCTAACTTAGGTATAAGTCCTGCAAAAAAGTATAAGTGGACCCATGCAGTTCAAACCCACGTTGTTCAAGAGTCATCTGTATATGTTAATAAAGATATGTACTAAGAAGTAAATAAAGCAGAGTAAATAGAGAATGATGGAAGACTGTTTCAGATATGTCTGAGGAAGGTGTTTCTGTCAAGGAGAAAATGAAGCACAAACCTAAATGGAGAGAGGGAACCATACAGATATAGATGGGTAAAGAGACACTCCTTATACTTGGTATGTCGAAAGATTGTCAAGAAAGGCAGTGTGGCAGGGAAAGAGTAAGGAGTGGACAACTAAGAGTTGAGAATGGGAAGGATAACGTGGTGTTTATCACAGAGAGCCTGGTAGAGCTCAGTAGGACCTTGACTATCATTCTGAGTGAGACGGAAATCATTAAAGAGATTTTAGCCAATAAGGGATATCACGTGGCCCACATGTTTTAAGGATCACTCAGACATACTAGGTATGTAAGGCATTTTAAAATTTTCTCTTTAGATACAGAATATAAATTATGAATGAAAATAGACTTAAATTAACAATGATCAGGGCAATTGTCTGATCTGGATAGATCAGGATATTGACTGATGATTGTGTTCCAGGAGCTATAGTGCAGCTCTCATTTTTCTTTTCCATTTCCTTAATTTGCATAATTCTTTTGAATTTGAATCGTGTTTTTTGGCAGTGTATAATAACTTATTGTTTTATAATAGGGACATTAATGACAATGATATGTAATATTTAAAAATTATGTGCATCTGACTGTTGCTTTGCATACTGATTTCCCCATTTGTTTGTCATTTATAATTTCAACCAAAACTACATAGCCTTGTCTAAGTCCACAGACAAGTCATGAATTTTTTCTTCTATTTGTACGGGGAGAGGCTTGAAATTATGTGATAGTTTTATTACAATTATCACATGATCTATTAGACTATTTATGAAGAGGAAGCATGGAGTATTTAAAAGAAAAAACTTAGTAGGATTTAGAGGGCATAAATTCTGGAACCAGCTCTGAAACTTACCAGCTGAATTGGGGTCTTAAACATGTTTGCCTAGAAGTGATCAATACGGCTTCCCCCACAGGGAGAAGCGTACTGTTCTGTTATCTCTGCAGTTCTTTTACAGTTGTTAAGCCAGTGTGCACGTACTAGATGGTAAATAAAAATTGTTTGAATTAAGAGTTACCTACACTAAAAGTGGCCATTTTCAATATAAATGAGAAAATAAGGGAGATTATCTCATATAAACAACAGAGGAAAATCTCCATATTTGTTTTTGTAAAATTTATCAGTTAAGAGAAGATACTATTGATACTTGGAAGGAAGAGTTGCCTCTAAAATTCTCATTACTATCCTGTAAAAGCATCCAAGTAGTATGAAAAGAGGAATTTAGGGGTTGCCTTCTGTTATCAGTCTTGTGGCAGCAGTTTCCAGCTGCCAAATAATGGTTTACCATAAAGCTTTCAAACCTTTAAATCAATACATTAATAAACTGTTTTAAAACGATAACTAAGCTTGTATCTAAGCTATCAGAATATTCATGCAATAAATACAAATTTTTACTTATTCTAAATTCTTTGCTTTTTAATTGTAAGAATCACTTTTATGATTAAATGAGAAATAAAGAAATTATTCTGTGAATTATATACTGAAGGAGAGGGCATGCCTACCTCAACTTCACATAGACACCTGCAATTCTCCTTGAGTCTGGGGGTGATTCAGGTCTTTCTCTGCCACAGGCAGTGCAGAAGGTTTTCCTTCTCCCAGAAGGGCCAGTTCCTCCACCTATGCTTACGCCTCACTTCTTTTGGCAGTTCCAGAAATGCTGATTCTTCAGTATAAAGAAGCTTCAGCTTCTTTACTAGAAGCTTTAATATTTATAGGTACTGAAATTTCCCACCTTAAAATAAATAAATTGACAAAAACTTCCCTTTGATCCTACTTCTTTCTCTGGCCACCACTCCCTTCATACATGTTTCCTGAACTTTCAGCTTCCTGCCTCCGTTTTCGTTCTTCCTACCCACTCCCCAATCCTCTTCACTTCTCTCATGCCAGGTCTTGCTAAGGTATCAGTTACTTCCGTCACACTAAATTCAAATGACAATTTTTAGTCATTATCTTATTTGGTCCTTGAGTTCATTCAACTGCCTGAATGACTCTACATCCTCCATCACACTTTTTTTTTTGAAAGACTCTTTTCTCTTTGCTTTTTGATGGGAATGAATCTGTTTTGTTCTCTACTATCACCCTAACACACCTTTCAAAGTGCTTTGCTTGTAGCACGTGTTGAATGAATTTAGACTGAAGATCGAATACCAAATATTATAATGTGAGATATAATGGCGTAAAGACTAGACAAGAGCTACAACATAACATTCTACGAGGGTTGGAAGAGAAAGAAAGTTTCATTCATAGGCAAGAGGGCACTTGAGCTGGGTCTTAAAGAATGCATGTGATTACCCTAGCAGAGATCTTAGCTACAGGGGGAGAGGGGAAGATTGCCTAGTATATATTTAAGATCCTGGTGTCTGAAGTGTCTCTGGGCTTGAGTAAGTTTTCATGCAGCACAAGGTATACAAAAAGGGAATAATGACTGTAAAGATATGTTGAACTCTTTACAACACAAAGAGACTTTACAATTCAAGGTCTTTAAAAAGGACTTTGACTCTTACTTTGGTGCTTTCACTTTTAATTCAACATGACTTGGGAAGTTATTGAAAATTTTTGTTTATTTGTTTAGAGAATATGGGTGATGATTAGGTCTGTGCCTTGTATTAATTAATGTGGTGGCAGTATGGGATTGACTGAAAGGGGAGAGGTTATAAGGGGAGGAGAGGAGACCAGTACAGTCATCAAGCAAGAGATCCAAAAAGCTGGGATCAAGATAAAAACACCTGGGGACAAATACAAGCAGAAATACAAAGATGGAATCAATAGAGTTTAACTTATTAGAGCAGTAAGGGATGAATTTAAATCTTGAGTAACTGAAATAAAAGTCATGCAAACCATGGATGTAGGAAATGAGAAAATGTTAGTTGTTTTTACTTACTTACTTATATTTTTGTTAGTGGAGAGACATGGATTGTTTTGAGAGTCTTAACATTTGAGATGCCAGTGTTGAAGAAGTATCCATGCAGAGATTCTGGAACATGACAGGAAAGTTGAGGATGAAGCTATATGAATTTAAACTTGACAGCACAAGTTTCCTCTTTAGTGGAAGAAGGGCAATCCAGGCTGAGGGAATACCCTGAAAGACCAAGGGTCTGAATGCCATGTGGAATTTTGGAGAAAATCAAATGGAACAGTCAAAATACAAGAAAATCTGAAGTTTGAATTGTAGGTCTGCTGCTTGACAAGCCGTGTGGTTCTGAAGTAGGCTTTGGTTTATTTATTCATTTATTTCATTTTAATCTCTGCACAGGCCTGGCCTGAGTGATCTGCAAATAGTAGACACTAAATGCAGGCTTTTATGGGGATATGGAATATAATCATTTCTGAATTATAGAATTTTTTGAGGAACTGAAAATTATTTAGGAGTCCATTCATTTGATTGTGCATTCATTCATTCATTCGTTCATATATTCTTACTGAGTCTTAACCTGTGGCAGGCAATTTTATTTATATTGCCTGACTTTTTCTCCATCCCGTACTTGACTAGAATTTTCACTGATTGAACTGAGCATATTATTCTCTGTCAGCTACAGGAAAAAAGACTGATTTAGATCTTGTCTCTCTATGGCATCATGCCTTTTCCACAACTCAGACCAAGTGTCCTCTTCCTTGAGTTGGTTGAAGTAGCTATAAAAGGAA